TTTTATGAATAATTTGTATGTAAAATTACTTGTAAATTGTATGTGTGCATCGAAAATTATATACATGAATTATATATCATTTAAAATTGTTCACAATTTAAAGAAAATATACAAAACAATTTATTAACAAAGATTATTTTTTGTGTTTACAAATAATATTGTGCGTTAATACATGAATACATAAATTAAAATTTATTTATTAAAAATTCCATTTTTTTCTCTTCTAACATTTATTAATCATCTTTGTATGTGTTCTTTACTTATTCATCTTTGTCTTTGTCCATAATTAATACGTAACACAAAAATAATAATCCAGGGGTACTTTCGTGTAACAAAATTTAATCGGTTGTTTACTCAAAATATTTTAAATTTTAAAAATAGCTCGGACCCCCTTTTTCCTAGAGTGCCCCTCATATATAGAAAACCCATTGCCCCTGAAACTTCACCAGTATATAATTGTTACCTCTCTAAATTGGAGATCAAGTTCAGATCCAATTCAAATCAGTTTATTGCTTGCTTTTTATTGCCAGAATGTTTGCTGTGTATTGTAAAGTTACATTGCACAATACAAAAAATTATTTGGCATAATATTAACAAGATAATTTTATTAATTTTGCATCATTATAAAGTGAAAATCTGTTTATAGTTATTCGGATTATGGTATTTATTATTATCAAGAATAATATAAATACCTAAAGAGACACTACAAGTTCTGCCCTACATATCGATTTCAACAATATACATTTATATAAATAATGAAATATACATATCATTCATTCCATTTTGCAAATAAAAAATTGCGTATATCTCGCTATTAATAAACAACATGTCTGAACCTTGTAAAAAAAAAGTCAATTGCGTCAGCAAAAAAAATCAATAGGGTTTCATACCAAGACTAAAGATTCATATGAGTAAGTGTTATTTATTTAAAAAGAATGGTGGTGGTTGTTGTAATCATTGCAATTAGTTGTAATTCTATTTAAAAAGGATTAGAATAGTAATTATCATCTTAGTCATCATACAAATAATTTTTTTGCAAAATAGTGAATATGAAACTTACTTTAAATATCGTGAAAAAGATTTTAAATTGGTAGAATATTTGGTATACCACTGGGACAATTACATATTTTAATTATGATGAAAAAAAAGAAGGATGTTATAATATATATATACAGTATATAAAAATATGATGGAAGAGTTGAATACATGATAACTGAGGTAAATATAAAAACATATATAGAGTACTTGAAATGATAATTTATGTTAGGCAATTGGGATGGATTTACTTAATAGTTCGCCTATGGGGATATGTTTACTTTGCTGAGCCTCTATCCTCGAGAATCCTGGCAGGAATTCAACTATATTTTGGACAATAACCAGTCATCGTGGTCAAATGTGATCAATAAATATTTAATTTCAGTTTGAAAATACTGAAAATATAATATTTTATTAATATTATTTAGGCCATGGTTGGCAATTTATTGGTCCATTGAGAACTGGCAGACTTCGGACTGGTCCATTGCCATTAATAAAACACTAAATTTGGTTAAAACGTTACCAATTTGCCAACCTTGACTTAGGCTGATAAAGTATCTGTGTATTTTCAGTAAGAATAATCGATAAACTGAGAGAACTTTGGGATGGGTTGATATTAATCCCCTAGAAACTGAAGATGCATCAAAGTGCATATCAAAGACTAAAAATGGCAAGAATCTGTTATTGATCATTTGTAACTATTACTATTTGTTGATCACCCCTGGGAGTTTACGGTTACAAAATGAATTTTCTTCGTAGAACTTTATTTAAATCAAGTAGTTGCTATAATTTTTTGAATGGAAAAACTAACAACATACAAAAATCGTTTCAACTTGGTTTCCAGTTAGTATTAATAATATAATAAATAATTGATTAAAAAAAAAAATTTAAATTGATCTCTTTTTTTGCAAATGAAAAAAAAAGTACATCACCTGAATCACCAATACCAGAACAAATACTAAGAACATCATTATCATATATTAATCAATATGGATGGACAATTAACACATTATCACAAGGAGCCAAATCCTTAGGATATTCATCAGTTGCACATGGATTATTTCCAAGAGGGGGAGTAGAATTGGTTGATTTTTTCTTGGAGGATAGTCGACAAAAAATGATTTGCGAAATAAAGGATAAGATGAACGAAGAGGGGTAATTAAAATCAATCAATCAATCAATTATATATCGAGTAAAGAAAAAACCAAGTGAATTATTTGTCATAGTTTAAAAATACCTCAGAAAATTCGTTTGGCTTGTATAACAAGATTAAATCTAACGAAACCTTACATCAAGAAATGGCCAGAGGTAATCGATTGTGATTAATATTATGTAACAATAATATTAATAATAACAAGTAAAATAATACTAATACTAATTAACACATTTGTTTATTTTGTGCAGGCTCTTGCAATTATGTCACAACCAAATAATTTTTACATGTCATTTCTACATCTTGCTAAATTAGTTGATGATATTTGGTATCTCGCTGGTGACAAAAGTGCAGATGTTTGTATTTAATTGATTGTTAATTCAAGAAAAAATTATTAATAATAATGAATAATTTGATTTAAAAAAAATTATTTTCTAATTTCATCAATTATTTATAAAGATGAATTGGTACAGTAAAAGAACAACGCTTGCAATGATATACTCTACCACAGGTACTGTATTGCATTATATATATATATATATATATATAATATATTATATGTTAATAATAATATTATTATTACGTATTAGAGTTGTATATGACTCAAGATAATTCACCAGATTTTATGGGAACTTATCAATTTCTGGATAGAAGATTGCAAGATACTGCAACATTTGGTAAATCTGTAGCAGATGTTAAAGCATATTTAAGTTTTGTTGGTAGATCTTTGAATGGAGTTTTAGAATCAGTGAGTGTCCTTTTTCTTTCTTGATCAATTTAATTATTTCATTTTTTTGTAAATTAAAAATGATTAATTATTCGTTTATTCATTTATTTTATTTATTCTTTGTTACAGAAAAGAATCTTATAATATTCAAATAATTAGATTATTGCTGTTGTTACTATTAAAATAATAATTTACCAAAAAATCTATACTTTATTTATTTTATAGATGTAATTGAATTAATTAATTATTCCAACTTTTTATTTTTATTTCGTTGTCTCCAATCACCTTTTATTGGTTCTAAATTCGGATTATTTAATGCTTCGCCTGATTCGATTTGTTCTTTAATCCATGATTCCGGATTTGTGGATTTTGTCGATCCTTTTTGATAATCAGCCCAATCATCATTAGAAAGTAAATCATCTTCAACTGCCTTCCATTTCTCAACAAGAGAAGCCTAATAATTTTTAGTTATTTTGAGGGGAAAAGAAATAAAGTTCAAAATAAAATGAATTGCAAAGGATATTATAAAGCCTAACTATAAATCAAGTAAAATATACCCATATTATTTAAAAATTTTCTCCATTTCCAATTTTAAAAATTTTTTGTTTCAATCAATTTGTATTTTTTATGTATGTAAAAATATCTATTTAACAACTAAATTTGGAAACAATTTGATGACATATATTACCATTTTCTTATTCCGAAATCCTGATGACACACTGCTATTGCTACTACTAGCGACATTACTTTCTTTTTCTTTCTTGCGCTTTTTGTCACCAGTAACACTATTAGAGAAAACGAAGAAATAAGGACAACATCAATGTTAAAGATAAAAATGAAGCAATTATAACGATGTTAAAGGTATATATCGTAATAGATAATAATCAAATATTGATTGTATTGGGATACAAATATTGTGAATGATCTTTTGATGATGCTACCGTTGCAGTTGTTGTTGTAGTAGTTGCCTGGTCAACAGGCTCAACAAAATATTGTTGTTGGGTGATTGGATCCAATGAAGAAATATATGTAGCAGGTATGCTAGAATTATAATCTTGGTTGGTTTCAGGAATTGATTCAAGGCCAGTAATTAATTCTGCTGTTGGATACTTAATAGAGACATAATTCTATAATCAAATAATATTAAATTTTTATAATATAATGCATTATTATTATTGTTGTTATCATATTGATTATTTTATTATAAATACCGTTTGTAGATGTGTCCATGTATAAGTTTGAGCATCAGATTTCCATTTGCATTTCCATCCTGTGGGTGTAATTTGTTCTATTTATATATTTATTATAACAATGTAGATATTATTTATAAAAATATATAATGATTTAATTTCCATATATAATTATTCATAAAATAATCACACCTTCAGTTCCTTCTAATAATCTCTCAAGACCTTCTAATATTACTTTTTCAAAATATAGTGAATTCAAAGCTCCAACTTGCCAATCATACATTCTAGTAGAAAATTCAATCTGATGTCTTAAAAGATTTAGATGTGTTGCCATTGGTGCCAAATTTGAAAGCCTGCTGTATACGTCATGAGAACGGATGTGTAATGGAGAGTCAGATGGAGGAATTGATAGAGACAAATTTTTCTGATTTAAATCCCTATTGTCAATAATGATGTTATTGTCGTTGACATTACCATCACCACCATCACCATCATCAACAATCACCGTCGTGCTTGATTTATCGACATCTTTTGTGGAAGTTTCAGGAAAATTTTCCAATTCCCAACGAGATTCGCCTGTATTGGTATTGTAATAATAGTATCGTTCACTTTCTACATCCCAACACTGTTGCCATTCGCCTGATGTTTTAATAATGGACGTGACTACGCTAGCAGCTGATTGCGAATTAGCAGTTTCATTTTCTTTAGCTTCTAAAACTTTTTTAGAAATATTTCCGACTTCATCATCTGCTGCTGCTATTGATGATGCAGGAGAATTGGTAGAAGTTGGCAGTGCATTTATTTCAGACATGAACATTTTCAAAGCTGCTTCTATACTATCTTCGGGATAATCTATAGATTCATTTGTTTCTCCGGTAAAATCAGTATTTCCAACTGTCGGAGGAATAGTTTGTTTGGCTGGTATTGGAGGTGGAGGCAATGGTGGTAATGGTGGAAGTGGAGGTGAGGGCGAGTGTTGATCTTGATGTTTTTGATTTTCGTCCGTATTTGATGCGTCCAATTGATCCTGTTCTTTTTGATGTTGTTCTTTTCAAAAATTTGAAACAGTCATTTCTTTGCCAAATATAATAAAAAACACATAAAAAGTTCCTCACTTATTTTTATTACATATTTTAAAAAACTTCACTTTGTTTTTTTGTTTGATTGATTACTCGAAGAGTATGAAAAATCCACAATGATGATTCTTTTAAATTTGTTTGATTAAAAAAAGATATCACTCCACCTACCAATCTGCACAGTATCCTCCTCCTCATCTTCACTCTCACTATATGCACCAAGTAAATCATGTAAAGTATTTTTGGATTCTTGTTTCTTTTTTGCTTCGTCTACAGCTATTCAACAAGAAAATATTGTTGAGTTATTTTTTAAATGGGAGATGAACGATTAATTAATTATTATAAACTTCAACCTTTGTTTTTTGCTCTGATTGAAGAAATTGGCTGGTCCAATTGTATTAAAGTTCTTCGTCTTGACATTTCTCGACGGTCCATTTTTTTAGTTATTTATTTTGTAACGAAAAGAAGCTAATTTTTAAAAAATGTGCAACACAAAATTTTATATAACATAATGAACATTGATTTCATTGGCTAAAATCTTATTTTCATTTATCTTTGCTGTGTAGATCACTAAACCCTTGATATTAAATAAAGTCTAATATTAATTAGTATTAGATAAGAAATTCGAATAGGCTGAAACCAATAAACCCATTGTCATTAATATTAACTAAATATAGTTAAATTATTATACCAATCCAACACTGGTTATTAAAAAAAAACTCTGTAACAACTTATCCTTCTCGAAACCCTTGCTGCAGATTTCGTTGTCGCAATATTTCATTGAAAATCAAACTTAACTAATTTGGAATATAAATCTTTCAAAATAGTCTCTACCTTCCAATAATGGGCTTGTGGGATCAATCAAGGTTTTATGATACGTGGAGAATTATGATAAATCATTATGTCAAGTTGTAGTTATATATATGAATTAGAGAGTTAGAAAGTTAAACTTCAATTATTCCAGTTTTGACCTTGTTAAAAACTAGTTTTGATAATCTATTAATTTGCATAGTATTTTTTGTTTCATGGGATTTTTTGCAAAAACAAAGTTTTTTTAATGAAACTCATGGATGATAATTGATTCGTAATGTATATAATATAATAATAATATTATGTTGTAAAAACGTTTATATAAAGAAATAAAAAATAAATCTATTAATTAGATGACGTTTTAAATAAAAGTTATTTTGCAAAAATACTAAATTTCACGCGCGTGAATTTTTCACGAATTAATTAAAAATCATTTCTGAATTGCATCGATTAAATTTTGCTAAAACTTTTTTAAACGAAACAAACATGTCGGATAACGGAGGGAAAATATATTACCATGAAGCGGTGGCAAGCATGGTGAGCATTGCTTCCGCTAATACTGGTCGTGGTTCACTTTTAGTTGTGAATAGTGGATTCCAACTGTTTTCCAAAACAAGAGATGGAAATGTAGAAGTAACAGATGTGGTTGATCTTTGGAGATACCTGATTGAAGGTTAAAACTTGAAGGTAAATAATAACTGTTAGGTCAAATTAGATTAATGCAAGTTTGTCTTATTATTGCTCTTTTTCTTTTTTCTTAAAGAACATTGTAAAAATTATTTTTGTCGAGCTTATAATAAAACTCGAGTCTTATTCCAACCAAGTCCTGGCGCCTTGGGCTTTCTTGAAGATTAGCATCATCGCATATTCCTGCTATGCAACCAATATATAACCCGCAGCTTTTGGGAAACCGAGTAGAAAGTAAGCAATCGTAATCTGGCGAACCTCTGAAAGATATTCTGAGCAAGTGGAAACGTACTCTTGGCAATAAACATGTTAATATCCAAGAATTCACTCAACTTTCCTTGGAGAAAATTCCAAATCGAAGCGAGGATATCTAACGTGCTTCAAAATAATGACTACTTTTTTATTACCACAATTTTTCTGATAAACTTAAGTTTTTTTTAAATATAAAAAAAATGTCTTTTAAGAATTAATGTCGTGAAGATATTTATTGTTACTCGAGCATCCCTATCACTATAGCATGGTGGAAGTTTGATTTTATTGGATATAAAATGTGACAAAATAAAATTTAGATTTTTACCGAAATTAGAAA